GTTACTGATACTAATGAGCAAGTGTCACATTGTTACTGATACTAATGAGCAAGTGTCACATTGTTACTGATACTAATGAACAAGTATCATATTATTACTGATACTGATGAGCAGGTGTCATATTGTCATTGATACTAATAAGCAAGTATCATATTGTTATTGCTACTAATGAGCAGGTGTCTTATTGTTACTGCTACTAATAAGCAAGTGTCTTATTGTTACTGCTACTAATGAACAAGCGTTGTATTGTTATTGAAACCTGATGTTTTTTTTAATGGCACTCTTTTTCTAAAGTCTCTTGATGGGACAGTGGTAAGTCTGTAGACTTGCAATGCTAAAATTCAGTGTTCAGTTTCCTACACGGACATAGAAGATAGCTCAATGTGGCTTTGCTCTAAAAAACCAAAGTTTATCTAAAAGTAAATTCAAAATTTTACATAACACCTTAAAACATTACAACACTTTTTTTTAGCATCTGTTGAAAAATAGTTTTACCTGATTGTATTTTATTAATAAGTTTAGGAAGAATGTTAATTAATTACTAAAAAGAAGAAATCCTTGTACGATATTAATCTTTGAAGTTTATGTTTGAACAGATCAAGAAAAGCACAATATCGCATGGTGTAACGAAGTTACTCATAGCACTGCACAACCTCCAGAATCGACCTTTGGAGAGTAAACAGTGTTTTACAATGGAGAAACTTGAGAGCAATATTGTTCGTATTATTGACAGTATCAAAAAGATGAGAGTAAGTACATCCACACAACTTTAGTTTTATGTTTACTACCCTCTAGAATCCCGAGAAGTGACTTCTCAGGATTCTAGAGGATAGTACACATAAAACTGAATATAATATTTGTACATGATTATCTACACTTCTCAGGATTCTAGAGGACAGTACACATAAAACTGAAGTATAATATTTGTACATGATTATTTACACTTCTCAGGATTCTAGAGGGTAGTACACATAAAACTAAAGTACATTTTTACATGATTATTTATACTTCTTGGGAATCTAGAGGATAGTACACATAAAACTGAAGTATAATATTTGTATATGATTATTTACACTTCTCAGGATTCCAGAGGATAGTACACATAAAACCAAAGTACATTTGTACATGATTATTTACACTTCTCAGGATTCTAGAGGATAGTACACATAAAACTGAAGTATAATATTTGTACATGATTATTTAGTAAATAATCATGTACAAATATTATACTTCAGTTTTATGTGTACTATCCTCTAGAATCCTGAGAAGTGTAAATAATCATGGTTTATTCAACTATTAAAACATTAGTTCTTAATAAATGCATTAATAGCTTTGATATATTTTTATAATGTAATATTAGTGTATTCAAGGTAAGTGAACAATGGCACGTGCTTGTCCTATGGGTTAGTGTATTCAAGGTAAGGGAACAATGGCACGTGCTTGTCCTATGGGTTAGTGTATTCAAGGTAAGTGAACAATGGCACGTGCTTGTCCTATGGGTTAGTGTATTCAAGGTAAGTGAACAATGGCACGTGCTTGTCCTATGGGCACATTCAATCAGTCCGTGAAAATAGTATGAAGTCTAATTCTGATTTTCCAACTGTTGTGAAAAACCGTGTGCACACTTGTCAAAGTTTCCTTCTTAAACTTTAGATAAATTTTGCAACTGTGGTATAAGGGGAAACAGGTTATGGTTTATGTTAATTTATTCATTTTTTACTTAGCTGACAGGTGAACAGGATTATTGTGTCCGTAGTTTTCTCAGTCGATGGGAACATGTGAAAAAGAATGACTTGATGAACTTTATAAATCACTCGGAGGAAAAACAGTTGCCAGCAAGGTATAAATTATTTTTTGAGTATCATTGTAAATTAAAAAAAAAAAACTGAAGTATTTTTTCAAGATAATTTCTTTGTTATTTTTATTGTACTTTAAAAGAATGAGCAGTTTTTTTTATGTAAATTTTAATTTTAAATAAAAAAGTCTTTATACAAAGTTTCTAATATATTGTTAAACATGTTTATTTAACATAATGAAAAGAAACATAGTACTCAGAGCTAACAAATATTCATGCTTTTTCTTCATTCTGTTATTTTTCCATATTTTCTTTAAAAGATTTACAAGATAATAAATTTTGAGTGGTAAAATTGTGGTGATTGATTACTTTTTTCTAATTAGCTTAAATGTAAACATAATCTGATTACCTACTGTCTTTTATTACATTTTTTTTTTAGTTTGGCTACATTGTTATTGTTAGTTTAGTTGTCCGTCACTGCATTCATGTTAAGGCTGTTGATATTATTACTAAGCCAGACTACTATAGTGTAATATAATTAGAAAGGAAAAAAAATGAAAAAAAAGCAAACAAATATAAAAAAAAAAGTATATAAAAATAATACCCTAACTGACATCGTGTTAAAATATGCTTAAAAACAAGTTTTATGATGTTTCAGAAGCAGATCTTACAGCAGGTTGTAACTAAAAGTCATTAATACAAACTTTAACAGAATAAAAAGTGGGAATATAAACAGTAAAATTGACCATTTGAGACACGTAGCAATATTGAATCATTTATAATACTAACTATTGTAGATGTGATGTTGTTGGAATAAAAAAAAAAGTTGATATAAACACTTGAAAATAAATTAAAGACAGAAAGAAATGCATGTATAAATATACATATATTAGGGGCAGTAATAATATGTTCAAAAGCAAATTCAGAATTGTAGAAAGATGGGGAGAGTTGTGAGGAGAAAATGCCAGGAAACAAAAAGGTGAATACAAGAAAGATAATTAGCTTAAAGAAAAAAAATCGGGGAAAAACCGTAAAGAATGTAAATAGATATTTTTCTCTGTTAGCATGAGCAGCAATTAATGACAAGAGGTGTTGAAACTAGTTTGGGTTTATAGAATTGTGTTCCATTAAACTATTGAAGGTCTAGGTCTGAAATGTTGGAAAAGTTAACTTGAATTTTAAGATTATTCATCACGTCGATAACGTAGTCCTGAAATGGGCTATTTCGTGTAATTTTATACATAAGACTTTAAAATTGTAGATGTTTTCTTCTGAATCACATAAATTAAGAGTATTCAAATATGTCTATGTTAACACGTATTCAATGTATCATTTACCTCTATAGCCCTATTTTCATTCTTATGTCCTATTACATCTGATTTCACCCGTGTGGGAAAAGTTAATTATATAGTTATAAAGCTATTTTATTGAACATATCTTTAATTTCTAGAGAGTACTGTTATTATTGTTAATATTATATAAATTACTAATACAGAGGTGTGCAACTTGTGAAAACTGTTAGAAAAATCTACTTGTCCTTCTTAAAAAATCTCGCATACCTCCTCTCTGTTTCACAAAATATCCACACAATTACAATATAACTTTTAGGGTTTTGCTTTTATTAAACGACGAACAATAGTTCAAAATTACTGGATGCATCCAGTCTGTATTAGAAAAGTGCAAACTGAAGGTAATAATAACATAGTAAAGTATAAAGATAACTACACACTCAAGTAGGCCCTAAAATATTTATTTGTGGAGCACTCGGTGTGAATCAGTGTTGTTATTAACAGCTACAAGTTTTGTAATTCCTCACGGTCATATACGCTATACTTTAATTAGAATTTGAATTCTTTTAGCAGTGACCATTAATTTTATTAATTGGTGATTTATTTGATAATCTGTAATTACGTGATTGTAAAGTTTTGCTTTTCGTAACACAGGTGTACGGCTGAAATGCGTGTTCGTATTTTTGCAATAACGGAATATCGATATTTGTTTTGAACAAATATTTTTATCCCTGTTACAATAGGCTCGATTCTGCAGTGTCTGCTCTATGCAGCAGTTTGCACGGAATGTTTGAAGAATTCGTATTCAAGTCGGAACTCACTCATGAAAATGATCCAAGTCCCGCAATGATATTGGCCCTTCAGACTGTGCAGGAACTGGTTAGGTCTAAGCTGCATCATTATGAAGAATACCTAGAAGTAAAAACAAGAAGAAATTTGGGCATGACTACGTATCCTTTTATTTCACGCACACACTATAAGAACAAAAGGAAACATAATTTCAAAATTATGTTAAACAATGTGCCATTAACTATATAAACTGAAAATATAAGGTTTAAAATGAGTGTTATTGTGTCCTACTGGTATCTAATAAAAATGTGGTACCAAATTCTTTATAGGTTTTTAAAGGTAAAACTAGCATATATCCCGTCAAAAATGACGGGGTAACTACTACCCCCCACCCCATAGTATACCCTAACCTCATATTTCCTAGTTAACTGAAATAAATAAATTTTGCAAAATCAAGCTTGACAAAGAAAGAGTCAGAAAAGTGCAATCAAGGCATTCAAACGTCTGTAAATTCCTTTGTGAGCCAATCAAAATTAAAATCATTCTGAAATGAAATCGTGGCGTATTCATAGAATAATTATTGGTAAAAATCAGTTAGATTAACAACTTCTAATATATAGAAAAGCCAGTACGTTTTGGTAACACTATGTTCCAACAGTGGCTTTTATGTCATGTTGCTTAGCAACAAAAGTATAACCTACTATTGTTGTTAGTCGTGTATTGAAAGTATAAATTAAAATGGAAAAATATTTGTTGATTTTTTAACTTAGTCTCCATTGATTAAAGAGGTTTGTTTTTTATTTAAAATGTTGGTGATATGACAGAAAATAGCTTAATTTAGAAACAATTTAAGTTTAAAA